CTCACAGGTGTGCCCAGCTGCTTGGATTTAGTTTATTCCAGGTGTAGTAGAGCTGACAACCAAGAAGAGCTACCACATAGGTTTATACAGATTTTCTCAGACAAGAGGTCTTGGGACGTGGTGGTGAAGCACAAGCAACCACACACGTGTGTCAACGGTTACTCCTTAGTTACTGCACAGAGACACAGAGACACACCTGCACCTCCGACTTCAGGGGAAGACATCTGCTGCTGTGCTGCACTGAGACCCCATCTGCTCTACCCTAGCAGATTCAACTCCTCTCCCATACTGGGAACATTGGTGGTGTGTTGGTTTGGATAAAAATGGCCCCGTACACTCATGTATTTGAAGGCTTAATCACCAGGGAGTGGAGTTCTTTGATAGGACTAGAAGGATTAGGAGGTGTGGCCTTTTTGGAGGAAGTGTGTCACTGGGGTGGGTTTTGAGATGTTCAAAAGCCTACACTTAGCCTAGTTTCTCTCTCTCCTGGCCTGTGGATCAGGGTGTAGCTCTCAGCTACTGCTCCAGTGCCATGGGAGCCGCCATGCTCCCCACCATGATGATAATGGATTAGCCCTCTGAAACTGCAAAGGAGCCTCCAATTAAATGCTTTTTTTTTAAAAAATAAGAATTTTCTTGGTCACAGTGTCCTTCACAACAACAGAACAGTGACTAAGACAAGCAGTCACTGCCAACCATCTTAGGATGTTACTGTAAGTGGTATGTCTGGCTGAACCTTGGGGAAAGGAGGAAAGGGGGGTTATGAGAAAGAACTTCCCTGGAGTTAGGGGGTGGTTCTTCAGTGGAGAGTCATAGGAAAAGGCTAGTAAATCACATGTGAAACAGGGAGAAATTCTAAAAGCTGAGGAACGGGGTTAGACACAGACACGTCCCACTGTGACAGGCTGAGTTCCTGGCCAGTCATAGCTCATGGACAGCTTCAGGTTGTCTAGGCTTCCATTCAGACTCTCTTGAGCTATTCCTACCCCTTATTAAAGCTGTCACCCACGGCCTCTGTCGGGTCTGGTGGTAAATAAAGGAGCAGGTGGGTAAGCAACACAGCCCGCCTATACCAGCTTCTCTATAGGAGACGCAGCACCTTCTCTCGGGAGATGGTAACTGAAGGAGGGCTAGTGACAAACCATGAGATTTGATGAGCCAAACTGGGATGAAGTAATAAGAGCAATACAGGACACCGTAAAAAGAATCGAAAAGACCTAGAAATAGAACTTCTAAACCCATAGTACTCTGTAGGGAAAGCTGGCCCCCAGGGGACATTACACATGTCTGTTAAACAAATCAATAATTAACACTGGTATATGCGAGGATTTCAATATTTTCTGTATTTGTATTTGGCTCTGTGTTGTGGGGAAGAGGTTGAGACTGAGTTTGCCTGTGTTGTCCTGATTGCCTGGAACTTTCTCCTCGGCTAGGTTGCCTTGAAGCCACGGTACCCTTTTGTCTCTACTTCCTTCTTTAGCTCTGAGAAAGAGAAACTCGTTTTGATATTTATTAAAACGGTAAAGAGGATTTTTCAAGATTGTTGTAGCGGGGAGTATTGCAATCAGGGGAGATATGGGACAAAAAGAATTGGGGAGTTACAGCCATGGGGTGGGGTATAGAGGGAATTAGGTAGTGAGCAGATGGAAAACCACTAAGAGGCAAGGTCAGGGGTAGGCAGCTTCTTGCTAAACTGACTTGGCAGGACTTTGGTTAAAGGCAGAAGAGCAATCAGATATCAAAAGTAGAGGAAGAATTTGAGCGGATTCTGAGATGCGCAAATGTGGAGGGTGGTGGGTGGGGCTGTCACTAAACTGACCTAGTAAGATTCTTGCAATCTGCATTTGGGCAGGATGAAGAGGGGACCCAAGGATGAGGGGCAAGTCTGCCTCAACAGAGACAGTTTGGCTAGAAGAATCTTTGTTAATGCTCAATTAGAATGGACATTTATGGGTTATGCATATGTGATTAGTAATAAAAAACCCAAAAATTTATAACATTTATCTTTACTAACAGGAAATATCCTTTTGTGAGGTATGACAAAGAAATGTAACATGGAATTCTGGGTGAGCTCTGGACCAGAATTTATTTCTTTTTAATTTTTCCCGTCAATGAGAGTTGATGAAATGTTTAGATTAGATAATAGTGTTGTAATTGATGGCTCTGCTCTAAGCTTGATTGTTTTGATCAAGAATGTCTTTTCTCTTAGAAAACACTCACTGAAGAATTTTCAATAACGGAACATCATGTCTTATTCTCAAATAATTTTTGAAAGAGGTAATATGTACATACAGGGGACATCAGGGTAAAGCACACTTGGCAAATGTTAGCATTTGGGGCCTGGTATAGGTCTGTGTGTGTGTGTGTGTGTGTGTGTGTGTGTGTTAGGAGTGGGGAGAGGAGGGATGCGAGGGGAGAGAAAGAGAGAAGAGAAAGAGACAGAGAGAGAAAGTTTGTTATTGAGGTTGCAAGTGGAGGGCAGAGCACAATCTCAGGTTTCATCCTTAGGAATGGCATCTTCCTTCTTTGAGACATCGTTGCTCATTGGCCAGGAGTTCACCAATTAGCCTGGGGCATCTAGTCAGCCCCAGGGAGCCTCTTGTTCTTTTTACAATTGCTTCAGCAATTTTTTTTTTTTAACTTTGCTGAAAATTAACGAAACTATGGGGTAGGGGAGGAGAGAACCTGGATCCTGGTTTCCTGGAATCCTCTCTCCTTCCCTCCTGCTCTCCTTCTGTCTCTCCCTCTCTCTTCCTCTCAACCTTAGGGGTAACTGAACTGCCATCACAAACCTCGGCCCAAGTGTCTTTTCTGTTATTCCCCAGATGTTGTTAACATCAGAAATTCTGTATATACAATGGTCACAACAAAATGTGTTATAGACAATTGTCACAAGGGACACATAATAGAAAGACATTTATGAGATCTAATTCTAGAATTTCTGCAAATGTCAGTTCTCTCCCTTTCCAAGAATGCTTCTTAATATCTTTGAGAAATAGCTAAATCTTAAATCAGGTTCTCAGAAATGTCCTTGCAGTTTATTACACTTTACAATTTATTCACACTAACTGTTCGCACAGAACTCCACCCCCATGATACACACTCACCCTCTTTGAGTATGTTCTCCATGGATCAACTCCTGCCCATATCTTGTCTCATCTAGTCATCCCAACATCCCTATGGATAAACAGAGAACGTCCCATTATGATTCTTCTTTTATAGATTTGCTAATGAAAGCCCCAAGAAATTGAATGATGAGTTCTCCTAGGTTAGCTGATAAATGGCAGAATCTGAGTTGGGGATGGTGGCGCACACCTTTAATCCCAGCACTTGAAAGGCAGAGGCAGGTGGATCTCTGTGAGTTTGAGGCTAGCCTGATCTACAGAGCTAGTTCCAGGACAGCTAGGGCTACACAGAGAAACCCTGTCTTGAAAAACAAACAAATAAACAACAAAATGGTATAATCCAATGGTAAATTTTATTAATTACGGCAAAGTGAAATTACTGCTACACTTATATACAAGCAAATGCAAAGTTTTGCAAAGTTCACCGTCATTATGTGACCATACTCACTCCAGGATTTTAAAATGGGATTCTGAGTTCTTGCCTAGCCATGTGCAAGGCCCTGGATTCCATCTGCAGCAATGCAAATACAATCAATAAACAAAATAAAAGTGAGCTAGGCCTGGTGGTGCAAGGCTGTAGTTCTGGATACTTTGGAGGCCAAGGAAGGAGGATGGTAAGTCCCAGGCCAGCTTAAGGGCCAACGTCAGTAACTTAGTAAGTAACTCAAAATAAAAAAAAAAATGAAGGAAGGTCTGGGGACATAGGTCACTTGGCGGTAAAGGCCCTAGGTTCAATCTCCAATACCAAAAATCAAAACAACAAACAAACAAATAAAAACAACAAAAATCCCCCCTCCAAACCAAATAACCCTGCCTATTCAGTTTCTCTTTTCATGAAGACTTATCAGGTGTGAGCATGAGCCGGACACTCTGGAGCTGAATGCCTTAAAGAGACACCTAAGCAAAAATCACAGATGTGATGGGTAGCTGCTTTCTTGAGGAATATTTGTGCACACCCCGTGTTGCAAGCCACTACCATCTTCATTGTGTGCACACTTAGGGAGGTTTTGCCTTCAGTGCTTAGGTCCAGTCGCACTGAGGCTTACTGTGGAGAGTGTGAGAATGCCGAGTCCCTAGCTCCTGGCCTGGGAGCTGTTTAGCTGTGAGTCACCTACTCTGCACCACAGAAGGGAGAACCATTTACTTTTTCTAAATAGGATGGACACCTTTCCCCTGGCTGCAGCCACCCTATTTCCCAGAGCAGCATTCTTGCCATTTTGGGGCTGATCTTCCAGGTAGTTCCTGAGGGCATCCCCACACTTGGCAGGGGTACAGTCAGATTTATGGCTCAGAAAAAAAAAATCTAGCTGGCTCAGCAATATTTCCCATTGCTGAAGACCCTTTAAATGAAAGTAAGCCATGCATACAGCGTAGTTTAGCAAGGAGACACAGAACTTATGTCGGGAGGGCAGTGGTTCCCAGGGCTACTTAAAGCAAGGGTTAAATTATTTTTGCCACACTGGAAGATCCATTAACTTGGAAACCGACCTCCCAAGCCTAGAGAATCTCTTCATTTCTCCAGTAGATTTCTCTGGACTTCCCTGAGTCTTTGGTTGATTTGGATATGGCTGTCTGAACTTGAATTGGATAACTGAGAAGGAAGAGCCACGCCTCATTGGCTCATTAGTGTCATGTGACTAATGTACCCAACCCAGTGTTCTAGATGCTACCTCTCATGGTTTGTCCTTGGCTTTCTCCAGTCACATCCTATTTCAGGTGTTCTTTCCCTTGCTATATATATATTCTCACAATATACGTTTAGTATGTGAATTAATAAAATGAATAAGAACACCTCGATGGCTAAGAAGAACCAGCAAGCAAAACTATAGGAAATCCCTAAAGGATATCACCGAGGGTTTGCAGCACTAGAAGACCATGACGGAGTCCCAGCGCTACTGTCTTCTCTTGATGGGTAGTCAGATTTGCGGCAAGGTAGTGGGGATTCTTCCTTGAGCCACTGTTGGGCGTCCCTCGCAGCTCAGGACTTTGAGGCAAGTAAACTTCCTTGAGCCTGAGGAAAGAGTCCCCCAGAAATGACCAGCTGATGACTAGGCAATACAGCGTTAGATGAGGGGGGCAAGGGATCGTATCTGGGTTGCACAAAGTTAGGGAGCAAAGCTGATCCGAGTGTTTCAGTCGGCTGGGGTCGAGAACCTCTGCCCCAGCATCACCTAGCCTTAGACTGCAAGAGCGGTACCTCCTGGGTCTTTCCCCTCCTGCGTTTGGAAATGCTTGGAACCTAGCAGAAGGGGGAGGAGCCAAGTACTCTCTGGACCCTCCCCTTGGTTGAAAGCCCCCTTCAGTTCTGGGGAGTTACTGGTATGTATCACCCCCAGCAGGTTTTGGGGGCACGACCCGAGCGTCCTGCAAAGTGGGCTTGCTCCCAGGCATCTGGGCGGTCTAGGTTGCTGCAAGCCTACATTCGCTGATATCTGCGAGGCATCTTGGGGCGCTCGTTGAAATTTCTGGAGCAATAGAGAAACTTCTCACCCCTTTTTGTTCCCTGCTTTTGGGTAGGAAAGCAGCGGTCGAGTAATTTAATTTTCTATCCTAACCGGACTCTGCAAAAATCGTGCACCGAAAATCTGAGTCAAGCTCTGCAGTCCAACTGCCCCGAGTCTGGTGTGCGCCTAAAAACTTGCAGTTCCGAGCTAGCGCACCGGTGTGAGCGGGTCCAGACAGGCCGCAGAGGGCGTCTGGAGACCGGAGAAACCGCGGCCGCCTGGCCCGTCGCTTCGGTCGGGGCTGTCCCTTTAAATCCTGGAGGAGGTAAAGAGGAAAAAGAAAAGAAAGAATAAAGACGCGGAGCCCCCAGCACTGGGTGGCTCTGCCGGGTTCCCTGCGCCGCCCCTGCGCAGGAACCTGACTCCGGCTCGATGCCCGCGCGGGTCCTGGGCGTCCTCGGCAGCGCCGCCCACTCGCCAGCGACTGTCAAAATAGAAATTAGCGAAGCCGGGAGGAGGCCGGGCCGCAGCAAGTGCATGTGTGGCAGGGCGGGGAGGGGGCGGGCGTGAGCGAGCCAGAGAGAGGCGACCGCACACATCCGGGCCCTTTAGCCCCGCGGCCCCCCGAGCCGTGGGCGCGGGCGCTGGGCTCGGGGCGCGGGGCTGCCAGCCGCGGTGCGGGAGGCGGGGCGTGCGGAGGGCGGAGGCGCGGCCCCGGGAGGGAGGAGCTGCCCGCGCGCCCGCCGCTCGGCTGCACACCCGCTGGAGCAGCCCCGCCACGAGACTCTGACAGCGGCGCGGCCCGCGCGGCTCGGGAGCGCAGGGACGGACGGACAACGGTGGCGAAGGAGGACGGAAGCGCTGCGGCCGGGAGCCAAGTGAGGGAGGCGCGTGGGGTCGGCGGCGCGCTGAGGTGAGCAGCTTCGCGCGCGGGCTGTCAGGGGTCTGCTTCCGCACCTCGGCTGCCTAGGCGGGTCGGGAGGTCGCGGGGCTCCCACAGGGTGGCTGTGCATCCCCGGCGGCCCCGAAGCGATGGTGGGGCCGTTGCTAGGAGGCGGGAGGTCCGCGCGTCCCGGGGCGCCGGCGGGGACAGGGGCGCGCTCCATCGCTGGGCAGGAGGCGGGGGGCTGCGGTGGCTATTCAGGGGCTCCGTGCGTGCGGCAGCCATGCAACCGAAGGAGGCGGGCGGAGGCAAAGAGGGAGAGGAGGAGGGAGGGGAGAGCCAGCGGAGAGTGAGCCAGCGAGCGGGCGCCGCGCCTCCTGGCTGGCACCGCGGCCTGGAGCGAAGTGGCGCGCGGGGCTCGGAGGGAACTTCTGCCGGCGTGTGCGGTCCCGGGCTCCGCGGCGCCTCCGGGCCCGGGAGGGTCGGGGCGGGCCTCTCGACAGCCACAGGTGGTTCCTGCCCAAAGTTTTGCTTTACTTCTGCCGGGAAGGCTGGAGAACATTTTGGGGAGTGACAGTTTTCTGATACTTTGGCATCCGCACCTCGCACGGTCTTTTTTGAATATTAGAAAAGGGTTGTCAAAAGTGGAGGGAATCCCATACTTCTCAATGAGGCCCAAGGGTTGCCTGGCTTGCTGGGACCCAGATGCCACTCAGTTGAGCATCTCAGCTGTGGGCACACGGAGGAAGTTGAGGTAAATGAACACAGACTCATGATTCCTCTAGGTCTCGATAAAGAGAAACATAGCCTGCCCGGGAACCTGTCACCCTCACTGGGCGTCTGGAGATCTCTTCCTAGCGACACACGCGGTGGAGATCTCTTCTTAGCGACAAACGCCAAAACCGCGTGCGCGTCTGTGCTCACGGTGTGCGCGTCTCTTGCTGGGTTGGCAGCGAATTGTCTCTGTCCGCTGTGAGGCTTTGTTATTCGCGCCGTTGTCCTGATTTCATCAGGAGGAAGGCCAGGGGCAGCCCTGAAGGAGCCGGCAGGTCCCCTTACCCTTTAAATCTGCCTAACTGTAGAGACAAGCATTAAGTCAAGCCTGAGCCCAGACTCAGGGCAGAAACAGTTGAGGTCCGTGCTGCCTAGCTAGGGCTGGGGTTTCTGGGGCTTCTGATACGAGGGGGGTTGCGCGCGCGCGGGGTAGGGGAATGGAACTGGGTTGAGAAAAAGCCTTAAAAGAGGATGTGCTGTGTCCAACGGTGAAAGAAAAAGTCTGAGCTTCTGTGGCTTGGCTCAGTTCCTTATTGGCCAGGTTGGCTATCCAGGGCAGCCAGGTAGAACCACCAGGGTAGGTCAGGCTTAGGCTGAAAGAAATCATTATTCCCAGAGAGGGTCTGATACCTGGGTGTTGCAAGTAGGTACAAACCCTTCGAGAGTTGGAAACACTCAGCTCTTCATTCTCCTTGGTCCTGTTCACAGTCGCTGTTCTACTGCTACACCCATGAAGCACACGAGCAGAGAAGGGGGTTCTTTAAAGGAGGCTACGAGATTTGGGGGAACAGACTCCAGGCATCAAGAGAACTCATTCTATAATGAGCAATCCCAAGACCGAGGAAAGGAGTGACTTACCATAGTGGTAAAGGAGCAAAGAAACTAGTAATGACAGCAGCAGCCCAGGCCAGCTTGGACAGAATGCCCTGGGGCAAGGTCTTGTGGACTTGTCACAGAAACGCCACCCCTAGACCCTGAGCCTATTATGGGCTTATTATCTGGTACTTTCTAAATTCATGTTTTCCAGCAAAGATATTCGGTTTCCTGCTCCCCACCCCCATCCTTGACCTAACTAAATCAGGACTGTCCCTGAAAAGTCCAGTGTGACATGGTCCCAACTTTTCCTGCACCCTCATTGCCCCAAATCTCCCAGATTCCTTGGGCAACATAATGTGGCTTGATTAGCCAAGATGAGTGTACAGCTTGTCATGCTAAAGCACCCACTTTCTGTAGGATGCCAGAACTGTTTTCCTGGTAATTAGGTTTTACAGATATTTTTGAAAAGGAGCCCAATTTTTGATCAATTACACTTGGGCACAAATTCAGTGCTGTTGTGGATACCAAATGAGAGAGATGAGCAATTATCTGGGGGTGTTGGAATGAATGTTGTTATGAGTATTTGACATAGCTATTAAGCATCAATGAATGGGTTCTCAGTAAATGTTTTTTTACTCTGTATTTTATTGAGTAAACAAGTGTCTTAATTAAAAAGAGATTCGAGTTGGCCGCTTATATTTGAGCCACTTTTCCCTTCCCAGTGGATGTGGTATGTGGGGGGTGGGGAGTGTAGAGTGATAATGACCAAGAGAATTTTGTCTTCTTCAAACCAAGATATTCTAGAGCAAGACTTAGCCTTCAGTCTGTAATGTTGTCCATGGTCAGGCAGAGCCTTATTAAGTCAAAATGAGACTGGGTGTGGTCTGTGTCAATCTGTATTAGTCAGAAATTACTCAAAGGGGGAACATTCTCTAAGTTTTATTGCCCTCAAGGATATGAAGTATGAAGAACTCCAGGCCAACACAGTATGTAATTTCTCAGGTCTCTTACATAGGCAAGGATCAAAGTCCCCATCCCCATGTTTGAGACACTGTAGAAAAAAATAAAAACAAACAAAAAAACAAGATCTGGAATATTTTGCTAATGTCTACCACTCCTATTGCATGCTAATCCCATCAGAATCCCCAAGAGCTAGATAAATGGAGAAACCGGGGCAGAGGGAGCAGAAATGGTTTCTAGTGCATTAGCTTGCTGTTCAGCTTGGGCTTCCAGGAGATCACCTGCAAGAGGCTCTCGAGCAAGGCTTCTGGACCATTGTCCGTCCCAGCACTGAAGTTACAGGGGGATGCCACAGTTACATAGTTGACTGGAGACCAGGACACTTTCCCTACCCCCTCTGAAGTCCGCTTCTTGCCCTCCCTCCTGTAGAAGGCTATGGGAACTTGGGAACTGAAGAGCCAGCTGGCTAAGTCTGGGGCAGGGGTGTGGGATCTCTGTCTGTGCAGGACTGAAGGAGTCGGTCTATTTATAAACGCCCTTCCGCTCCTGGAAGAAGAGACTCAAGGGTCTGGAACCATCTGCAATACTGACTTCTCTCCAGGGTGACTGTGCCCCACTGGGAAAAAAAAAAAGCCTGCCACCCAACCATGTCAGATTGACCCCTATCTGGGAAAAAGATCCCTCAGGGCTTCTCGGAGTCTTACTGCCTTTGGGGACTTAAGTTCCAAGGATTCCCTAGAGTTAATATGTGCAACTTAGGTGCTGTCCCCAACACTGCATAGGAGGCTACATCAGAACCCTCCCAGGGTTGAGCTGCTGAAGAAAGCGCAGCTGGCCTTTAAAAATAATGGTAGTAACTATTTTTCTGCAGGACATTGGAAAGTGACAGATTAGACAGGGCCCTCTCGGGCTCCAGAGGCCTTTCTGTGTGGTGCTGGAGGAGGTCCCAGGCTTGCTCTCCTCCGCTTGCTCCCACCCCCATCCTAATGGTTCCTCCCTCCCACTCATTCTCCACACCATCTCAAATCCTCTTTTGTCCTTGATCAATAGCACCTGCCACGATGCTGCTTGCATCTCTATTCCGGAGATTCCAGACTCTCTGCCTGGGCTGGTGGCAGCAGCAGGACAGGTGGGAGAACCACTCTGTTGTGTCTGAATTGACCTGCCTGGAAGAGCCATGTCAGGGGCTCACAGCAGGCTTCACTTAGGTGGGAAGACCCAGGAGAATCCCTGGAGAGAAAGGAGAGCTGGTGGCATAGGGCTGCAGGGGCAGGCACATGAGCTGCTGTTTTCTAGGGCAGGGCTTTTGGTTCGTTCTTCTCTATATGCTCAAGGTTGGCTGCTGCAACAGTTTGCTGAACCAAGACCATGGGCTGAGCATGGGTGAACAGAAATCAGATTGACTTCTTTACAGACGGTGTGGGACGGAGAAGGGCACTTTGGGAGGGCAAGGATGTAGCAGCAGAGTGTGGGTGAGAAAGAGGGGCGGGTTGTCCGGCCAGCATTTTTGAGGGTCTTGAGCCCAAGCTAACTGACCACTCACTACCACCAGGCATGCTAGAAGCAGCTTTCATTGATTTTCTATGGCCGAGCCAGCGTCACCCAGGAGGCATGCCCTAAGGCTCTGCAGGAAGGCAAGTTGGGCCTGTGGTCACCAGGAGCTTGGTCCCTAGACCTCCCCGAATCCCTGCGCTTTGCACACCCACTCCCAGTTTCTGGAAGGAGCTCCCGTCCTGGTTTGCTAGTCTTCCCTGTGCGTCTTCCAGCGGGGTTTGCATCATCTTTTGGGTCACAGTTGAAAGGTGGTGTCATAGTGCACTCTTTACTGTAACCGGTGCTACTGGGGTGGGACTTTGGTCCTTTGCTGCTTGACTTCCCCACCAGTGTTAGTGCCAGGAGGCCAGGGACTTTTAGATGTCTGTCATTGTTTCCTCCGCATTCAGAGCTATGCTGGCACGCTGGAGTAAGCAGTTGATTGACTGTGCCTGTTAGAGCTGTTGTGATGGAGGAGGTGGCCAGGGTCCTTTCAGCCCAGAGACAGAAATAAAGCTTGTTAGAGGTGTTCTGATGTATGGCAAGAGGGGATGTGGAATTCAAGGAGCATGGGCCATTGTCAAGGCTGGCTTGGGTAGAGGAGCCTCTCGGTGGCAGGGTTGAGCTAACTCCCCCCCCCCGCCCCCCCACACTCTGGTGAATAAGAGGCGAGCATAATGCCACCCTTGGAGATTGAGGAGTTGGCAGCCTCTTCAGAACAGCCGTGGACAGCTGTCTGCCAGCAGGGACACAAGGAGGGTTCCTCTCCAGGGCCAAGGGGTACACTTAGCCCCACAGGAGCAGGGGGTTTCGTTAGTGTCCCACAGCCCACTGACTTCCAAACCCCGCGGACACAGTGCTTCTACAGACGGGCGCGGAAGGAAACTTAAAGATACGGTTAGCGTTTCATTCACTGCTACTTATTTTCTGATCATCGAAGCACTAGT